TATCAGGATGCTTTAATAGGGATGCAAGCGTTCAGGGCATAAGAGAGCTCAGAAACTTGATTTTTAGATGAATATTGTTTTTTAAATCTTGTTGTAAATGTGGGTTTCTCTCCAGGTTTTCTTGGCTTTTCTTTTGCACTAATGTCCAGGTCTATCTCATCGTTTTTGCATTTGATTTTTTTCTTCTTCAATATAACAGTATCTATATTGCAGTGGCCACCTTTGGACCACTTCAGATGACTTTGCCATGTCATTGAATAACCTGCATACTAATCTTTTGATTCACTGCAGTAGTCATGCTGCTGTTCAAGTCACTGACTACTTAATCTTCAGGTCAGCTACTAAATTATAAAATGAAATGCTAATACCAGTGGGTATAACCTCGGAAATTCAATATTCCCTCTGATATGAGTTAAGGTAGAGGTTTATGTAAGGAATGCTCAAGAGTGCTTCTGCTACAGCTGTAATATAATAATGCTTCTCTTAGGGACTCACCTTGTATCCTGCTGTCTAGATTTTATATGCTGTCTGTGCACGAGGAGATTAAAGCAACGCAACACACAGAGAGACAACGATGAGAAAATAGTTTTTCAGAAATTCTAATTTCTCTGTCCTCTACAGTAAAAAAAAGAAAAGAAAATAGAAAGTTACATTTTAGCTGAGATGAAAGAATTGCTGGTCAAAGCTGACTTTAAATTCTCAGACTGTAGTTGATTTTGAAATGTTTGTACTAGGGCTGCAATGGCTGCTTGATAAAATCAGGAATAATTGATGATGAAAATAATCAACAGTAAATTTCATTGTCGATTCCTTTGATCTTTACACTGTGAATAAAGAAGCTTTGTTTATGACAATAAAATATTTCCGCTAATTTTACTGTTGACATGTTCTTGTCAGCATTTGACAAAAATAGTGCATTCTAAAGTGAGCGAGTGATTAAATGACGCTATTGTTGTTAAATTCAAATACATAGCAGGTGGTCATGCAAATTTTTAAATGCTTTTAAAGTCGGCACGCTATCTATTTTCTAAATTAATGTTATTGACCTTATTATGAACAAGTCTTAGGCTATGTTTCTTATTTTCTTTTTCTTTTTATTGGTATCATTGTTTTTATTATAGATATTTTATATATATTTTGACTATAGGGCTGCCAGTTTAACTCGTTAACTTAATTTAATTATAGTTATGAAAAAATAACGTGATTAAAATATTTTAACGCAGTTAATGCACTGGTCACGCCCCCAGACCTGTACATCATCTTACATTTCATACAGTTGACTGTTGACAAATATGATGCAGGGCAACAACTTCATAAATGCAGTTATGCCCTAAAATTCAAGATATTGGTGCAAAAAATGCCCCTGTATGAGTTTTTTGTGTCATATTTATATCATACGATAAGCGATATCACACGAGCAGCGAGAGCAATATCACATGAGTGCTGATTTTTTTCCCGAATATCACGAGTTTATTTTATACAACAGTTCAGTAAATAACTCAAAAAATCGCACGAATATGAACGTGGTTTTGTGCAGCTCGTCAGTGAACAACGGCTCTGTGTAGTTAATGCTGCTCAATGTGAAAGCACGCACGTGATGAAGATTTACCGCTGATTACAGAACTGGCTTTACTGAGAAGATGCGCGTTAAATATCGCATGTGATTTATCGTGCAGCCCTAATTTAAACACAATGTTTTTTTTGCTGAATTTTGCAGAGAACATACCTTTTAAAGCCACAGCAGAATTGATGCGCGTCTGTGAGCAACACAGCGATGTTTAGTTTCTGAATGAATCCGCATTTTGAACGAATCGTGTGAATCAATGACTACGTTTACATGGACCTCAGTAATCTAATTATTTACCTTATTCTAAATAAGCCAATATTATGATTATGGTGTTCACATGAGTTGCTTTTAGAATATTCCTTTCATGTTCCCGTTTTATATGTTATAGTACATAGTTCGATTAATGGCACACGTCATTACGTCCCCACGTCACGCCATCCGACGTCCCCTCCTGAATTTCACGTATAAACATATAGTTTGTCTTTGTGATGATGCCATATACAGTTTTGGGTGTTTCATTTTTAATTTTATGAAAGCTTCAAGTGCAGTTAATTATTTGTACGTGCATACAGATGATGGGGGTGTTGAATAGAGCTGCCACTAACGACTATTTTTATTTCGATTAATCTAAACGATTAATTTCCCACAAAAAAATCTAAAATTTTACTTAAGAATATTTTATTAAACTATATTTCATTAAACCAAAAGTAAAAAAGTAAAGTGCAACATAAAGTGCAAGAACCAAGTGTCCATCTCTTAGTCCAAATCACTGAAATCAAAATTCAGTATTATAGTGTAAGAACAACAACATATCCACGTTTAAAATTTAATGGAACCATTAAAATGGAATCCAGAAAATAATGGAAAACAGAATTCGGTAAAGATAAAACGGTAAAACTCAATTAATTAGGCTTTTTAACCATTAAAACAGAGTATAGAAAAATGAATTTGGAAATAAAACGGATTTCATAGTGCCCTATAATTATAATTAATTTTTATGCTATAGCCACTGTAATTTAATGAATATGTTGACATCAAATCGTGTAAACTCAGAGTGAGGGTTTGAGCTTTTATTTTGAAACCGTGAGATAATGTATTCTCCTGAGTTTGCGTAGATTTATAAATGATTTACCTTACAAATCTGATGAAATGGCGCATGTTGCATTCCCAAATGAACGTTATAATAAACCCAAACTCACAACAACATACACAGATGGAGTTTGAGACGTTCCACACATGTAAATGATAACAGTTCCTGTGGAACTAGGTGTTTTCATGTCTATACTGCACTTCAGTAATGCGACTAAAATAGGAATACTCCACATGTCTTAATTCGATTTCCGTTTACTTCAAATATGACTTTAGCCAGATTAAGGTAAACAAAAATCTCTGTTTAGGCCAATGCACCACTTCCGGTATTTTGCCGGTTAGTCGACGCGAGCAAAATGAAGTTTTTAAAAAATCGAATAGTTGAATAAAATCGACGAATCGCGACAGCCCTAGTGTTGAAGCTCTTTTATTTGCCGTCAAACGGTTGACCACTGCCATGTGTGTATCCTGTCGCAAAATGCAGCGAAAAGTCCTACACGACGGTAATAATTTGATTAAGGTGTTTTCATGTCTATACTGCACTTCAGCAATGCGACTAAAATAGGAATACTCCACATGTCTTAATTCGATTTCCGCGCATATACTGTATTAGAACTGCATCGCATATAATTATTTAATTAAATTGTAGCGTTTGTGAATTCACAATTATGCTTAATTATGTGTTTTATACATTCTCGTCTGTGAAATGCACCACTTCCGGTATTTTGCCGGTTAGTCGACGCGAGCAAAATGAAGTTTTTAAAAAATCGAATAGTTGAATAAAATCGACGAATCGCGACAGCCCTAGTGTTGAAGCTCTTTTATTTGCCGTCAAACGGTTGACCACTGCCATGTGTGTATCCTGTCGCAAAATGCAGCGAAAAGTCCTACACGACGGTAATAATTTGATTAAGGTGTTTTCATGTCTATACTGCACTTCAGCAATGCGACTAAAATAGGAATACTCCACATGTCTTCGTTCGATTTCCGTTTACTTCAAATATGACTTTAGCCAGATTAAGGTAAACAAAAATCTCTGTTTAGGCCTACATGGTAGATTCTTAATCAGAGTATTGTCTTAATCGTGTTAAAATTCTTTAACACGATTCTTTGCTGAATGAATCAGCCGTTTGAATCGAATCGAATGAAGACATTTGCCGACACCTGCTGGCAGATTTAGTTTCTATTTAGAGTATCATTTCATCCAAAATAATTAAATAAATAAATAAAACAAAAATAATAAATAACATTAAAGGGATAGGCCTAGTTCATCCAAAAAAAATTAAATTCTGTCATAATTTTCTCACCATCAGCCTCATGTCGTTTCAAACACTTCTTTTGTGGATCATAAAAGAAGGTATTTTGAAGACTGGTAACAAAGCTGTTTTGGTTAATGACTTTCATTGTAATACTGAGTTGTTTCTCAAATTATCTTTTTTATTCCATAGTTTATGTTAGGCTGTTATACCTTAAATGTTTGTGTAATATATTTTGTTGAATCAAAAAAATTTTTTCTTTCCAAAGCTACAATTTGTAATTTCTACTTGATACTTTCTCATTTAACACAAAATAGCTTTGAATAATCTTTTGTGGGTTTTATTTTGCGATTAATTAGATTAATTAATCAACACCATGTAATTAATTAGATAAAAAATGTTAATTGACTGACAGCCCTAATTTTGACCTATTTGACCTGGGGCCTGTACCATGATGGTAGATGAACAAATTTAGAGTTACAGGATTAGTTTCGAGTTGACAAAACCAAACCACTCCAATCCAGCCTTATTGGTATCCATGATACTGATCATCAACTTTCTTTGTCAACTCAGGCTTTGATCCTGAGTTTGTGAGGCACATGCACATGAATGTGTGACATCAGCGGCGAACAGCCAATCACAACACGGAGCAAGTGTGATTCACTTCTCGCGAGAGAGCCAGCGAGATTCAAAACTCTTTTGTTTATGTTTAAGAGATTAAAGAATATGAGGAATTTAAACGCATTTACTCTGAAGAAAGTACTGTCCATGAAAGAGGACAAATAGAGGAAATTATCTTTAACCTTTAACCAAGGCTCGTGATTGGCTGTTCGCCAGTGATGTCACACATTCATGTGCATGTGCTCCACAAACTCAGGATCAAAGTTCACAAAGTTGACAAAGAAAGTTGATGAACAGTATCATAGTACCAACAAAGCCGGATTGGAGTGGTTTGGTTTTGTCAACTCAAAACTAATCCTGTATCTCTGAATTTGTTCATCTACCATCATGGTACAGGCCCCAGGTTAGCTGTGCAGTGTAAGTTACTATGGCAACAAACGCAGCTAAAAGCCAAACCTCTTTCATGGTACCTAAAACCCAAAATTGGTGCAAACTAAACTGAAACTTACCTGGCTAGCCAGCTAATCCGACTTTATGGTACAGGCCCCTGATGCCAGATGCCAGACTATTTTTCTGCATTTTTTTTTTTGTAGTCTGATCACTTTAGTATATTTTTAAGTACTTAGTTAAATGAGATAAATTAGATTTGTTTCCAGTTTTCTCATCTTTTTACTTTGCATCTGGATGGTTATTAGTTCGTCTTTTGCACTTGTTAGTTGCAATCTCACATACCGTGTTTCTCTAGTGGCCTTACCTGAACCACAGATCTCGACCAGGTACATCACAGCCGTCAGCAAAACATTCGTTTGCTGTTTCGTTTTGTTTTTTCCTCTCTAATGTCTTTGTTCAAAGGATACCTGGAGCTGTTCTTTGATGGGTAAAAAATAACCCGCTGTATTCTTGAAGGCGGCATTCCAAAGGTGCTGGAATGCAGCTCATTAGCTGTAGCTAGAGAGACGTTTGAAACTATGATTGCTGTTGATTACTGTGGTGAGCTGTGTAGAGTGGTATTAAGATGTGAGAGAGGATCTGAAAATCATTTCATGTGGAATATATTCATAATGGAGCACTCAGATATGCAGCCAGTCCACAACATCTCATTGCCTGCTCATCAAATTCAGTATTGTTGGGACAATGTCTTGTTATAGCTCTCAGAGAGCCGTATACATCAGGATTTAGTCGAGTGCCTTATTTCAGTTGCCTTTTCTCTCTGCAGTGTTTATTCTTGTTACGGTTATTGCAAATAAGCTTAAGGAACTGCAAGCTCAGCCTGTGCTTCTATTAGAAATGATGAAGATATTTCTCAGGAGAGGTTCGGAGAGAACATAGATCAGTGCTTATTGGTCCGTACATGGTTTTCGACAAAAGACAAGCCCCATTGTGGCATCAATAATCCCACACCATACAGTGGGACGTACTTAGTTTAAAATAAAATCTAAATTAGGAAATCCCAGCAGCAATTCTAGAAATTATTCACTCATGGCCTGTTTGTATACTTTTTGTTGAGCTCTAAAATCACTCACATATTTTATCTTTCCCACCAGATGGTGAAATTTCCAATTATTTATTTAAAAATGATTTTTTTTACCAGTTTTCTCATCTTTTTGCTTTGCAGCTGAATAGTGTAGCTTCATAATGTGTGTATATGTATGCACAGGTATTATAAGAGCTTTCATTTCATGTTTACCTTAGTATGCATGAGTTGTTTGCTTTGACTTCATCTCATTTCAAATTGTATTTTATCATTTTGCATGATTTGTAGTCCGTTCCAGTAAAACTGTGATTTTTAAAATTAAAATACCAATTATGGATCAACCCTCTACAGTAAACTGACCTCATTGTTTATGTTTGGCTGTAGCTCTGAGATTGATGCATAAATATTACGGTGATGCCAATCTATAAAGATTGATTTGGTTGGTGTGGGTCTCGGGGAAAGCAAAGTTATACATTCAAGGGAGCATTTGGGAAGCCCGCATTTAAATGCATGACTTTTCAGACTATTTTTTTATGGGAAATGAAATGGATTTCCTTCCAAACTTTTATTGGGTCATATTGAGACTCTGCTTAAACGCCTCACGCAAATAAATAGAAGGCGATAAAGATTTCTCCCTCTTGCAAATGGTATTTACGGGACGTGGTGTTAAACAATTTGCAAAGTCGTTCAAAGATAACGTATATTTGATTGATTTTTGTCTGTCCTTGGATAGAGATGTGCGATTAGCACCAGGAATAACAAGTATCCTCTAGTTGAATTTGATCTGAGTGATTTTAATCAGGAAATGCAATGTTGTTAGGTTTACGTAGAGATTAAAAGTGGAGGCTTGGATAGAAATAGGCGAGCGCAGCCTTTCTTTCGGTGTGCTGACAACCAGGTGCAAGTGGTAAGTCTCCTTTGCCAGCATGACTCCTCAGACAAGACAAGTCAAGGAAAAACAGCACCCACGTATAACCAAGCCATGTTTTTCCGACACCTTAACTCATTCACGTAGGAGTGAGGGAGCGCCTGGTAGACACACTTTGTTTAGCAACATCCTGCGCAAGCCTTGCTTATCTCACAATTCTGTATTTTTATCCTTTTTCAAAGAGTTGCATACGTTCATGATATGTCACGATAAATAACAAGCTCCTATGGATTTGAGCCATAAACTTTGTTTTCTGTTGTCCTAGGGATAGAAGTGGTATGATGGAAAAACTTGTCGCAGTATGGCTGTGCTGCAGGATGCCGGTTTCTGAGTCGGAGAACAAAATAAGTTCCCCTGGGTAACTTGTATTCTCCCAAACGGGAAGAGCCTCTTCCACAGAATAATGAAAAGGAGCGTGAAGGTTTCGAAAGCCGACCAAAAGTTTCTTTTTGAATGGTCTGATTTAGTAGTGGCATTGCTTACTGGTTCTACCAGTCATTAAAGAGAGAGTTCACCCAAAAATGAAAATTTGTCATTTAGCCTACTCATCCTTATGTTTTTTCAAACTTGTATGACTTACTTTCTTCAGTGGAACACAATTTATTGGTTGTTTATTTATTTTGCCAATTACAGTTTTTGGGTGATCTATTTCTTTTATCCAACCATCTAATTTTCTGTTTTTCTTTTAGCTGCACTTGCTTGGAGAGATTTGAAAATGGTAATCAAGATGTCATGGTTTTGAAATAGATATTTTCAACAAAGCCTCTACAGTCAGTGTAAACAAAAGCTCCTCAGGGCAAGACAATGCAGTAGTGAAGACACCAATTTGTTTCTCAGCATAAGGAGAAACACTTGTTAGTCTTAAAGTCATGAAATTATGGAATATTTTCACAGCTGATCTGGCTAATACTAATACATCTTTTTGTTTTGTTAAGAATAATAAATCAGAGTTGGTCCCTCAACTTTTTATCACAGTTTTGTGATGCAGTCAGTCACTTGGAGGACATAGCATACCTTGCCATAGGCACGCAGAAACAGGCATGCTGTCAATAATCAATTAGCCTGCCAGCACCTCCGCATGAGCGCCTGAAGGAGTCAGCTCGAAGTGTTCACCTTCTCTCTCATTCACGAGTCGGTAATTTCAGCCTTGCTGTTTTCTTTTATTAGATAAAAGCCATAGGCTGTTGTGCTCTGGGTTTAATCTAAGAGAAAAGTTGGTGGAAAATTGTGCCATTCTGAGTTTAGCTGTGTTTTTAAGTTTATAGTACTGTAGTTTTACTGCAAGACCAATAAGGATAAAATGAATAATGTGAAATGAAGTGTATGGGACCTTTAAGTAATATTCATGTTTTAAACAATCTATATTAACAGCATCCATGGCACAACATTTGCTTCATATTCTTCCATTGTAAGTGCATTTGTCAGCTTATTTGTTTTTACAAACTGAGGTATTTTACAAGTGTTGACTCAAATTTAGTACATTTTCCTAGCCAACTGACTGTCACAGCTGTTGTTGATAGAGCTTAAAGGTGATGTGTGTTATTTTCTGCATTATTAGAATCACCAGATGGAGACTGCAAACTTGTTCCTAAACACTGGAACTCCCCCCCCCGATAAACAGATAGCCACGCCCCAGACTACTACCATTGGTTGAGTCAATGTTGCTGTTGTTGGGCAGGTCGGAATGACGTTTGGTAGCACCAAAAATCAGCCATTTTTACACTTCTCTGTCAATATAGAAATGGCTTAAGATTGTTTTTGCTTTTAAGTTTGAATGGCAAAGTATTTTATTAATTTTTCCTTATCCAAGTATTTTATCCATATTTGATGTGCTCTATGTATGTGCGTTGATCAATGTAGGGTATCAGAGCGAATCAGACACTTTAAGATTTGATCAGATTGGTGTTGAACAACCCAAAGAGTCAAATTCCACAAAGGGGCCCAGGATGAGACAACAGGACATTCGTAAATCAGATCCTAGCGCCAGCCAGTCTGAAGCAAGCCTAACTAACCAACTCTTTCACAGAACAGCTTTCAACATTAACACAAAAGAACACAATGATCCTAACAACTCAGGAGGGAGATTGTCAATTTTGGGGCAAGTAATCAAGATTGATGGTCAAAGAAATGCACAGCATGTGACCATCACATGTAAATCCATGATAGTAATCACGATCACAAGCTCTTTGGATTGACTTCCCCCCACCTAGAGGACAAGAACCAGACTGAGATTCCTTAGGAGACCTTTTAACCTCTCTGGTCTTCACAGAACATATCCTTACGTCCACAGAATGGCACAGAAACTGCCTTTCCATGTATATATGCACCTAAATGACGCTAAAAGGACTTATGAGCAACTAATCATTTCTATGCATAACTCCATATTATGTATGTAACCCACACATTTGACTATCATGTTCTAATCACTTATTGTGT